CCGAGTGAATGCAGACTATGTTGATTCAATCATTTTACAGCTCTGGTATCTAGGCAATACATATATGTATACCTACGTACAAATGAGTCAACTCAAAATATAAAAACATAAGTACAGGCGTAAAAAGCGCAGCCATCGCACCTGTTGTTGCCACCGCTTGTACAGAAAAATTTTGTTAAACAAATCGAATCCTTTTCCATGGTAATTATTTCTGTTAAAAAGTCACAGTCTTCTTAGAATTATATTATATTGTATAAAAATACTCACCCGTGCAACTTCGCCATGATTTCTAAAGTTGGCAAAATTTGCCTGCATCGGCCAGCGTCACTTGATACCACTTGCGAAATTTGCACTTTAATTCAACACTTTTACTAATATTTCACTTTTTCCTTATAGCAAACACTCACATCTGCAATATTTCGCACAAAACACTAAATTTGGTGCAATATTTCAGAAGAAATTAGTATTTTTCACAATTTTCTTACTCAAGGTAATGAAAAACAAGCACAACGGTTGAAATGGCGGCGGAAACTTGGTTGCCATAGCATTGCACAATGACTTTATTTAAAAACGCCTCGTTAGAAAGTCTCCCCCCTAGAGGGCTCAACGTTCTTTATTGCATATTTTTACCGGTAGGTGTTTACAACGTGAGAAAACAGCTGATAATGACAAATCCGGGAATGAAAAATATAAGCAGACGTTTACTAATTTAGTGGTGAAGAAAATAAACTGTAATTGATAAAAGTTCCTTTAAACTAACACCCCTATCCTTTTAAAGTTTAAAATTTAAACAAAATCAAACCGAGGTAAAATGGCAAATATAACTGCAGCAGTTATCGCAAATCGGAACAAAAAGCATTTTCTGGGCGTACCCGCGCCACTTGGTTATGTTGCTGGTGTTGGTAGGGGGCAAGTATATTTTCTCCATTAATACATAGAGTTGAAACTCAATAAATAAAATATGGTTTATAGCGCCACCGGTTTCACTACGCGTTCCGATATCGGTCCTGCCCGCGATGCCAACGATGTGTCTGATGCTCGCCATGCACCACCCGCTGCAAAACGGAAGAAAAAAGAAGAAGAGGAGGAGGAAGATGAGGATTTGAACGACTCTAACTACGATGAATTACGCGGCTACAGTGGCTCACTTTTCTCCAAAGATCCATAGACAAAGATGATGAAGAGGCTGATCAAATTTACGATTCCATAGACAAACGTATGGACGAGAAACGTAAGGAGTACAGAGATCGTCGTATGCGTGAAGATTTAGAGCGCTATCGTCAGGAGAGGTGTGTTATTTTTATGATTTCTTTAAAAATGGTTTGTTAGCCCTCTTCACATTTTACAGGCCAAAAATTAAACAACAGTTCTCCGATCTTAAACGCTCGCTGGCCAACGTCACCTCCGAGGAATGGTCAACTATACCTGAGGTAGGTACAGTCGCAATCGCAAGCAGCGTAATCCACGTGCAGAGAAATTCACACCGCTTCCTGGCAGCGTGCTGGCGCGTAATCTCGGTGGTGAAGCTACTTCAACAATCGAT